GCATGCATTTGCCAAAAAGTGTACAATTAAGTCCCTGTAGTTCAGTCAATATTGTGTTGGATTAGAAACAGCTCTGAAAAAGGAGCTAATTTAGTTCCTCCAAATGTTTTTTGAAGAACTGAAATTCTTCCCAGATCATAAAGTGTGGACAGGCCAAAAAGCAGGTACTTCCACCAACAGTACTAGGAAATGTGAAAAAGTTCAGTGCAAAACTGAATGGGGACTAAGCATTTTTGGTGAAAACCCACTCATTTACACACCTGACACTGAGAGAGTGGTCTGATTGGACTGTGGTTCCCCTGTATCTCTGGTAATGTCCAGTACATTGGATTTGATATAAGTGGAAAAGGACTCTGACGGAGAGCTCACTGCTCCGGTGAGTGGGTTACACTGCTCATCAACATGAGGGAAACTGCCTGTAGTCTTCAGCTCTTCAAACCTCCGAGCACACTGCAAAGATATAGATGAAGAAGCTAAATGAGTCCAAAAAAATTTTTCCTGATCTTGTGAAAGGAGAACATCTATATAAATTGTGTTTAGGGCTGTTCAAATCAGGAGCAATAAATATAATGGTACCTATATTAGTGTCATCAGCATGGTGATATCAGTCTGTTTATTATTATCAGTCTGCTGCTAAATCCTAAAACCAGGATGGGATTTTGACTGACTGTCATTGTTCTTATCCTGATTCCAACTAGATTGTTTCTTTTTTTTTCTTAAATAAAATGTGAACATGATGTTAAAAACTATATCTTATTGATTATAGCTCCTTGGTGTGAACAGGCTTTTTTACAGTAAATCATATCACAAATTATTATATTGTACAATTTATATTGTTATATTATTACATAATATACTATATTCAAATATTTTATTACATAAATAAGGTAATGTAAGTAGACTTTTCACAAAATGATCCACAAAGGAAAACTGTAATGGAAAAAAATTAAAGAAATTTTTTTTTTCAATAATTTATTTAGAATGGCTTTTCAATACATTTTTCATAAATATGGAATTTGTTTAGGACCTTTTTGATGTCTAATTAATGTAATAATTAACATTAACAGTAAAATGCTTGTTACCATATTGAGACGGATTTGGGGCCTCAAAGTCCTAATATACACACTTTGTATTTATTTATTTATTTATTGTTTATTTATTGTGCTGTCCCTTTCTTGTGACACTCAATCTTCCTTTCAACACTTTTTTTCTTTTTCTTAAAAGAAAAAAGAAAAAAACTAACAATTATAAATAGGTTGTTTTGTTTTTTAAACTAAATCTTGGTCTGATTGGACTGCACCATGATGGGGTGGTGGGACAAGTTTGCATGGATTTAATAATTACGCTATAATTTAATTTGTTAGCTACCCTAACCATACAAAATATGACAAAACACTATGTTATATATAAATTATAGCTATAGTTTAGGGTGACAGTGGCTCAGCCACCTCACAGCAAGAAGGTAGCTGGTTCGAGTCCCGGCTGGGTCAATTGGCATTTCTGTTTGGAGTTTGCATGTTCTCCCCGTGTTGGCGTGGGTTTTCCCCACAGTCTAAAGACATGCGCTATGGGTGAATTGAATAAACTAAAAATTGGCCTTAGTGTGTTTGGGTGAATGAGATGTTTATGGATGTTTCCCAGTGATGGGTTGCAGCTGGAAAAAACTATGCTGGATAAGTTGGCAGTTCATTCTGCTGTGACGACCCCTGAAGAATAAAGGGACTAAACCGAAAAGAAAATGAATGAATAGTTATAGTTTTATAGGTATTTATTGAGGGCTCCTAAGTTTCCTGGGGCCCTAAGCAGCTGCTTACCTCACTGATTGGTTAAATCCGCCCGTCAATGCAATTATTCATTTATATTAATTTATATTAGCTCACATAATAAATAAATGTTTTACTAAATGTTTTAATTAACTAAGATGAATAGATTTTTAACAGTATTTGTGCTTGTTAGTTCATGTTAACAACGAACTTAAAATAAAGCGTGTAATATATGGTAAGTCTGATCTGTCTTACCTCTTTAGGTGTGAACCCCGGCACTAGCTTGGCAACATTCTCCCAGTTGATTGGCTGAGGTGATGCCCACAGTGAGCTCAGCACAATGTCCAGCACCAGGAGGTTGTTGTCATACGGAAAGTTATTATTAACAGAGCAAAGACGATTCATTTCTGTGGAGGAAGAAGAAAACGGTCACCTATTTTTGAATAAAACATTTATTTATAAAATCAACCTTGACAGTCATGCCATCTACTGGCTCTCTTTTGTCCCATTGTATTGAATTTCAGAGAACCAAAGCTCAACTTGACAGGATGACAGCTGTGATTTGACGCATCACAAAGCTCATAATGTCACAAATAACAGCTGACAACGCCAAGAAAACTATTTTTATGATATGACGGGCTAAGCACGTTCAGTGTGTGTGAAGGTAAATGTGCTTAGCCAGCATAATGAATAATATATCGTGGCACTCCTGCGTTTTGTGTCACGTCGCCGTGTGAAATGCTAAGCTAACACCCAACCGCCGGTTTACCCTGTTCCAGATGGATGCGCGGTTTCCTCTGAAAGCAATGCTCTTCTTTCATTCCAGCTGAGCGGGGCTGCAGACACCGGGCTGGATTTGAGCAACATCAACGGAGATGCTGTGTGGCTTACTTTGATTTGATCCGGGTAAACCAGAAAAGTTCGCATCCGCTCAGCGTATGCAAATAACAGTAAAAACTAAGGTTAAAATCAAAGGATCGGGTGGGCATGACTACCCACGTCCGTGTGTCTGCTCGTGTTATAAAATGCCAGAGATGTTGAAGAGAGAGAGCGTGCTGCTGATGATGATGTTGCTGCAGTGTCCCCGATCGAGCCTCCTCCTCCTCCCTCTGCCGCCTGTCTGTAACGTTACGCCTGTCTGCTGCGATTTGTTGTGATGCCAAAGCTCGTTGACCTGAGCCTGATCAAGCGAGCTGGATAAAACGATTGAAAGCCGCCCGTGGAAGAGGATTAGCTCCACATCCTGCGCTCTGCCTCTGTGCTCTCGATTTCCGGTGCCGCAGTGCAGCAGGTGCGCGCCGGCGTCCCCGTTGCTTGGCGACATCCCTAACATTACATGACTAATGGCATTCTTGCTTTTTTAAGGCCAAGACATGCAGGTGAATACTACCGTGATAGATAGTTATTCCCATACTTTTAACTGTTGATTGATAATATTAAAGGAACATTAAGATGAAATGAAAACTTCCCCTCAAGTGGTTCACAATCAGTTTCTTTGTTCTGTTGAACCAAAAGAAAATATTTTGAAGAAACCTGTGACCATCGACTTACATAGTAGGAAAAATCAATACTATGGAAGTCAATGGTTACAGGTTTCCAGATTAAAATTTTTTTCTTGTGTTCAACAGAAGAAACGCAAACAAGTTTGGAACGGATGCAGGAAGAGTAAATGATGACTGACGAGTCATTTTTGAGTGAACTATCCCTTTAATATTACACAGAGTCAAAGGTTTTTCCTGATTTTTTTTTTTTTTTTTTTTGGATACCACTTTGTATCACTATCTATAATTCAGAACATAGCTGTGATTAGTTAACATAGAAAAACAAATTCACCTTTTTTTCAGAAAAAAATGTATCCCTACTGAAAAAACAGCAAATGCTGGTAAGGTATGTTTTTATCCTGGTCTTGCTGGTTTCAAAGCTGGTCTTAGTGGTGGTCAAGCTGCTCTCAATGCTGGTCTCAGTGCTGGTCAAGACCAGATCTGAAGCCAAACTAAAACCAGTAAGACCAGTATAACCAAAGTTGAAACCAGCAAAACCAGCATCAAAACATACCTTAACAGCAAACGCTGTTTTTTTCAGCAGTCAAGAAAATTATGTATGAAACTATTCTTTCATAATTTTTTTTAAGAATATAAATAAGTTGAGCTGAAGTGGAAACTTATGGCTTAATGCTGTAGGGGGAAAAAACGATTTGAAAAATAAGTTTAATAACATGCAGACATACACTACAAGTCCAAATTTTAAGGTCAGTTCTTTTTTCATGTTTTTTAAAAAAAAAAATATTCTGTTCATCAAGGCAGCATTTATTAAATGTAAAGAAATGGTTAAATTGTTAAATATTTATGATTTTACATACCTGCCTTCTTGAAATTATTACTCCAGTCATTATTGGTTTTATTACTATTACCATTAATAACAATAATAATAATAATAATAATAATAACTTATTTATAATAATAACTACTTTTGAACAGTTATTTTATAGTGCAATAAGATTTCACATTTTTACAATTTGTACTGTATTTTTTATTAAATAAATGCAGCATTGTTGAGCAGGAAAAGCTTATTTTAAAACATTTAAAAATCATATTAACTCCAAACTTTTGACCGGTAGTGTATATATTGTTAAAGTGTGATGAATGTAAAAGTTAAATTCTTTCTTTCCATCAGACGAAAATGTAAAGCTGTAAAAACCCAATCTCAAAACCGACATCTGCCTTAAAAAAAAATATTTTTGCCTGCAGTGTGGAACCACAGAAACATAAATACATTTTCTCGCTATAATCAGGTCACAGAAATTGGTGAAAGATTAACATATCTGTAAAAATGCTGAGCCACTGAATTATTATTTTTAGAGGGATGGGTTCTAGAGCTATGTGGCATATAGTGATCAAATCTGATGTTTCTTGTAATAACCACAGTGTATGCTAATTTGAACACCGCCTTACAAACGTCCGGTGACAGTTACATAAAAAAAACATAGAAATGAACATTTATATTCAGCAAGGATTTAAGTGATCAAAAGTGTTGATATGATTTAATATATTAAAAGATTCCTAAAAAAAGTATAATGGTTAAAAAATGATTATGTTGCACAAAGCATTGTATGATTTCTGTTGGATCCTGTGATGGTGACTACTCAAGTAATGAATGCTAAAGATTCAGCATTACATTGTAATTATGTGAAATAAGAAATCTGTTGCTATGTCAGCAATTAAAAATGACAGGAGGTACTTTTTACTGGCAAAATAATTGCTTGTATTTACATCATTGCACATTGTGTTGTCAGTGCGAGAAAACAAACAAGCCTGAAAACACAGACAAATTCACAAACTAGTCCTTGATACAACAAAACTTAAAATGGAAATATTAAATAGTCTTTACACTGCAGAAAGATGAACAGCAATCTAAAACATACATTAGGAGAGGAAGAACATTATCCCATATTGAAATTCTGCATTCTCCTTGGAAAACCTTGTATTAGTTTCAGCCTGCTACAAGCTCACGATTTAATCAGATGCACTATCATATTCATAACATTATCTGCAACAAAATTTCACAACATATTTGTAACATTTTATGCTTGATACGAGCATATCAAAACTAATTGTGAAAGCAAAAATCCATTTTGCCTAATTACTATTAAAAAAACAATTTATTGAAAAAAAAAACCTTTAAACAAATATTGGTAATAACTTTGAGCCTAACAGTCTAGTAAAATCTCTGAAATGATGTGCTATAAGCAATTAGAGGGTTAACGAAAAAAAAGGGTTAGTTCACCCCAAAATTAAATTTGCCAATGACCTCAAGCATCCTAAGTGCACACTGTAAAAAAAAATGCAGGGTTCCACCCAACTCCTTTTTGTTGTCACAACACAAATCAATTAGGTTAGTTTAATTGTTTTTGCCAATTTAAGTGGATCGAACATAAAACAAATAAATTGTCCCTAAAAACTCAATAATTGTGTTGATTTAGCTCATTTTAATTTAGTTTGAACAAGCATTTAAAAAATCTTGTTCAAGCACTACAATGGCAATGGACAGCTTTATTTTTTTAACAGTTCAAAATAAGTCCAATAATGTGATTCAAATAATCAAATATGCTTCACTTGGCTCTGGGAGGGTGAATAAGTGAATTGATCTATTTTTGTAAGGAAAATATTCATATCTAAAACGGCTTTATGTAACTTCCAGTGAGATATTTTGTCATCATCATCTTAAGAGGTGCATTTATCATTGTCAGCTGGAGAGGACTGTGTATTGTTTATCTTTCTTCTATGTTGGTTTCAACTGCACATGCTCTTCGTACTATTGTCCAGCTGATATTTTTCTTACAAATGTATCAGTTTGCTAAAGAAGACCTTTTTTTACCTTCCAGAGTCTAATAGACACTTTTTATGATGAATGGAGGCTCTTTATTTGACTTGTTGTGGACTGTTGAAAAAATTGCCATTGTAGTGCTTGTAGATATTTTAACATACCTCTGACTGGATTCAGCGGAAAGTAGAAAGTCATATGTATCTAAGATGCCTTGAAGGTAAGTAAATAAAGCTTTGTGTTCATTTTTGGGTGAACTAACCCATTAAAGCATTATTCACCTTCTCTTCAACACCTCAGTATTTTCATTAGCTCCTCTTCACTTTTTGTGGTTGAACTGAATTATATCAAGGGTGATACATTCAAAAAACAAAGAAGACATTTTCCCTACAGAAACACCCACCACCTGCACATATCGATTACTCATAAGTCCATCTTTTCTGAATGCATCACTAAAGTATCACGGCTGTTGTGTGTGGATGCTTGCACCTCCAGTCCAAGGCCTTGTGTTTCCCCATAAACGGACTCCAGCAGATCCTCTGAATGTGTTGTCGTTGGGACAGAAGCTGTAATGAGGGCCGTTTGAGGTGCTGGAAGGTTCTGTGCAGGCTCCTGGGCCTGTGCCATCCTCTCTAATTCAGCATGCTTTCTGCCTCTCCTTCGGCCCAACACTTTGACGTAGTTGGCAGGGACGAGGCCGGTAGTTTGCCCATCCACACTGGCTAACAGCCAGCCACGCACCCGTGGCTGTTGTTCTGAAAATGAGAGTGAACAACAGTGAGTACATGGTGTAGGTCAGCGCTTAGGACATAATACTTGACATTAGTGACACAGAGCTATTTTTATTTAGTTGTTTTGTTTTCCATTTCTATTCTTTTATTAACTCGCTATTAGTGTTGACAAGGTACCAACATTTTTGTAGTTGGAAAAATACCAGAGTAAAATGTCAGGGTTCTCTTTAACACTGCAAAAACTACTGTATTTATTCTTTCTATTATTTACAAAACACATGACATTAAAGTTATTAATAACTATAAGGAAATAACATATCAAAAACATTTTTAATTATTACAATGTAAAAGAAAGTACTTTGCAGCATTAAAATATATAATTCATTCACTCATTCATTGATAGTCTTATATTTATCAAGGGTGGCCAAAGCGGAATGAACCACCACTATTCAGGAATAGGTTTTACACAGCGAATGCCTATCCAGCAACAACCAAGCACTGGGAAACACACATTCACGCTCTCGCATTCACTCACACATTAACTATGGACAATTACATTCATAAATTTTCCTTCAGCTTAGTCCTTTTATTCATCAGGGGTCGCCACAATGGTATGAACCGCCAACTTGTCCAGCATGTTTTACACAGCAGATGCCCTTCTAGCTGCAACCCAGTACTGGGAAAAGCCCACGCGCTCTCACATGCACACACACTCATACACTACGGACAATTTTGTTTAATCAATTCATCTATACCGCATGTCTTTGGACTGTGGAGGAAACCAAAGCTCCCGCGAAAAACCCACGCGAACATGGGGAGAACATGCAAACTCCTAAAATATATCTACATTTCTAATTATTAATGTGTCGTATACTGAAAACAAAAGCAGTACAAGCTCACAAACTCAAAACTTTAATTGTAATAGAAAAGAAAATCTGTCTACACTGAAAACAAATCTCTTTATTTTTTATTTTGCTTACAGTTTGTTGGGTCTAATAAAACAATTTGAGATTCTGGCGCATTGAATGCATTTACACTACCTTAAAAGCTTTTGACAGGCCAATAAGTTAATGAGCTCAATAAACACTGCAAATATACTGGAAATATAAATGTTTTTAAAATGTCCAGACACTGAAGTAAGAAACTCTAGTCACTTATAGTGAGTTAAGAATCACATGATTGATGAATCATGTATTAGCTAATGCAACCATTGTATTAGACCAGCTGTGGACAATCATAAGTACATGATTGTCTCGAATTTAGTAATAAACAAACTTCACTTGTTTGCCTTTTTGGTACATTTTAAATAGGAAAATATGTAGACAGGAAGCAAACTTTGAAAAAAAAAAGGAAGAATATGATCGGCAAAAGTCTATGACTCAAAAGTGTGGAAGCCTGAAAAGTAATGTGCTTTTACAAGGATCCACTACTAACAGTACTTTTGAAAACATCAGTCAGTATGTCTGCATATATTTAAATGTTTCTGTATGCAATATGTCCAGAATATGTCCTGTTCTTTTACCTTTAGGGGCCAGATTTAGCATGTCTCCAGCCTGTACAGAGATCTCCTCCTCAGATGCAGCAGTGAAGTCATACTCGACTCGTGCTACTACATGATCATCTTCCCCACTTGCCCAGTTAGTGGCTACAAAACAGAACAGAGAGACATACTTCAGAACTTCCATAAAACACAAACATACAGACACAACTAAGTATAAAACTAAGTCTTCAGACATGAAGACATAAAAATATCATTAGATGTATTCAATAGTGTGCTGATGAAGATGTGTAGGGTTTCTGACTGGCTCATTCATAAAATTGCATTACATTACAGCAGAATGACAGAAAGTGAAGTGAGAGAGAGTGGGGAAAGGATCAGGAAAGGTCCATGAGCCGGCTTTTGTTGGTGCATTAATTACTGGGCTATCACACCAACAAAAAATTACTCTTTACTGTAGTACATTCTTACAAAAGTACTACTTTTTTAGTGTCGTTTCTTTAGTGGTTCAGTATACACAACTGTTAAAGCTTTAAGTAGAGATGTCCAGATCCAATCATGTTATCTAAAATAGGGCACGATCATGTCGATTTAGACTCAATCAGAATCTGACGTTACCTCCCGATCAGGACTAGAATATATATGTATCTATATATTCTCATAATTTTTTTGACACATCTATAGTTATGCGGGGCAGAGAGTTAGACTTCTTTCTTGACTTGACACAGAAACAGCAAGGCATGCGGCATGACATCACTTTTGATGAGACTCTATTGGTTAAATGAAATCAAAGATAAACAAGAAAACAGCTTGATGCAGAAAGCACGAGTATGTCTGCGGTCTGAAGGTATTATAAAGTTGATGACGACAACATTGCCATAGCTTAACTTGGGATTCCCTGCCAGGTATTTTAAGTTGAAGAGCTATTTGTTTATATATTACTTTTTTTTTTTGTATTTACTGTTGCACTCCAAAGTGAAGAATTGATGGTATTTATTACTTGATTGTTCAAGCTACCTCACAGAAGTGCTCTGTTTGTTAACAGAGTTGTTGAATGTTAAAATAAGATTAAGTAAAAAACAAGAAACATTCTGGATCTCTTTTTTTGCTATTCTTTATTATTTTTTATGTATTATATAAGTATTGGACCGGGTTTCGGTATCGGTAGATACTCAAAATCAAATGAAAAGCTGATCGGGACATCCCTAGTTTTGAGGTTGGTATGATTTGTAAAAATGTTTTTGATAAGTCTATTTCACTTGTAGTTGCAATTTTATAAATTGAAAATACAATAAAAACAAATACTTGGTAAAATTTAAATTAATTCTACTGACATTTCAAAAGCTGTCATTTCACACGATCCTTCAAAATTCTAATATTATTTGGTGGTCAAGAAACATTTACTATTATTGTCTATCATGAAAATAATTGTGCTTTGATTTATGGGAAACAGAGCTGTTTTTTCTGGATTCTTTGATTAATTGAAAATGGAAAAGCATTGCATTTATTTGAAATAATACATTTTCTGAAACACTATAAATGTTTTCATTGTCAATTCTGATTATTTTAAATGTGTCCTCGGTAAATAAATGTATACTTTTATTTAAAAGAATACCCAACTCTTCTGAATCTGAATGTTAGAGTAAAATCCTTCTCATTAATGGCCCCATGTTAAAACAAAAACAGCAGTTATAAAAATTGTCTGGAAGTTTTGTTATTGAGTCAAAGTTTAAACGCATCTTTAGCTCTCATGTCAGACCAGTTTATCACAAGAAGGACAGTCAAGGTGTAAGACTAGAATGAGAACAAACTACAGCAAGTGGATAAAAGTCTCACCATTTTCCTCAGCACCCTCAGCAGAACTTAAAAGCCTCCAGATTAAATACGGCCCTCCGAGAACAACAGCAAAAAACAAGAAAATAGGCCATGATTTGACAGAATTCACTCCGGGTTCTTCAACCCCTGCACCTCTGGCTCCTGAAGCAGACACCACTGAAGAAGAGGCTGCGCTGTCTGCCCACAAATCATCCACCTCTGAACCCTGACGCAATCCCATCAGCCTCTGCAGCCTGCGATACAGATATCGAAGAGTCCTAACCAGGGCAAAAGCTGACAGCACTTTTGTGAAATGTATGCGTAAGCGGGAGAAGTGATTGGCCACATCCAGAACAGCTCGGAAGCTGTTGTAGACGGCAGAGAAAGTAGCATCCATCATCATGCTGACTGATGAAAATGCATGGACGATGCTCTCAATAGACTGAAATGCTCCGCGGCTGCTCTCCTCGGCCTGTTGGACAAAACGACTGGGTGGGATTTCGTCCATTGTGTTGAATCGGTTATATCCCAGGCCGCCTCCGACTCCATAACCACTGTAGCTGTAGGGGCTGTAGCCACCATACATGGAGTTCCCATAAGGGCTGTACGAGGAGGGAAACGAGCTGTATGTTGGGCGGTATGACTGTCGAACAGGTCGTGGAGGAATCGGTGGCACCACTCGTGTTAGAACTGGAGGACCAGAACCTGATGGCCCACTTTGGGATACTGATCCAAAGTCCGTAGAGCTTGATAAAAGAAAACAAAAAGTCAGTCAAATGAAAAGTGTAAATGGTAAAAAACTAAACAAAAATAAGAAAAAAGTTGACAAATGTTCTTTATTTAAAAGCAATCATGGACGGTGACAATATTTTATTTAAGTTCTCCACATTTAAGTACATTTTATCATTATCAGAGTATTTGTATTTAGGCAACTTTTACTTTGCTACATTCCAAACCATAGTACTTTTTACTTTTACCATTACATTTCATAAATGTAGTAAAAAGATATTTTGAACTGGAGCCAGTGCCCCCGTGTCAAAAAGCTCGGCTCCCCTCTAGATTTGGACATGTATTTTTGTGTCACAACTACGGAGAAGCGAGATCAGCCATTGGTGGCAGACTGTGGAGATATGACTAAGGCCTCTTTTGCAACTCTCTCTCTTTGCGTCACGCGCACTTGCTGTCTCTGCTTTCCCTCGACTTTTAATATAGGAAGTCCTCAGCTATGTAGAGGCTATTATTAATCAGAAATTGAGTGTACATAGTTTTACGTTAGGAAATGCAGTCTTGAATTTACAAACAGTCGGCAATTACCAAAGAACAGATGTAACACATTGATCAAATCTAGTTTTTAGTCACGCTCATGTAAAAGTAATATTCAACTCGTTTAGTTTTGCCTTCATTCATTTTTGTTTTCAGTCGTGACATAAAAACCAAGTCTACAAACACATTATTTTTTTACAACACAATTTTAAACATAGAAGTTTAATTAATTTTTAATAACTACTTTTTTTGTCTTTCCCATAGTGACAATTTGTGCATAACATTTTACTAGTTATTTTGCAAGATTTTGTATTCAGATTAAAGTGTAATTTAAAGACAACTAGGTTATGTTAACTAGGAAAGTTAGAATTAGTCAAGATATTGTATAACTGGTTTGTTGTGTAGACAATCCAAAAAATACAGCAAATATTTCTTGAGGAGGCTAATAATACTTACCTTAAAAAAATTTTAATTGATTTTATTCAAGACAAACTATAAGAAATATGACTTATTATGACTCTAGAAGTTTTTTTAGGAAATACTGTAGAAATGTCCTTGGTTTGTTAAAGATCACTTGGGAAACATTATTTTAAATTAATGGGAGGGCAAAAAAATGACTTCAACTGTATCTGGTAAAGTTAACAGGTGAAAAAATGTGCCTTGATGTACTTGAATGTTAAAAATATGTTATCCTACTACAAAGTTACTTGTCAAAAAAATTAACAGAAAGATTATTTTGAGTTTAAATTATTTAATTAGCTTTTTTAAGAAGACAGCAGAGTGATGCATGGAAAAAAATGACTTTGAATAATTGTTTAAGTAGTTTGTGATGTATGTTAAAGTGTGCCGCCTAAAAGTATTAAGGGCCCCTTAATATTTTAAGATCTATATCTAATCTAATTGTATATAAATCTAATTATATATATTATATTATTATATATATAATAATTAATATTTTATATTATACAATTATATATATGTGTGAATGTGAACTTGTCCATATTTGTGTTATACTGCCAAATAAAAAAGGCTTCAAACCTAAACAATGTTATAAAAACACAAATTAATACCTCAACCCCCAAGCACAAAACAGAATTAAAACTCATAAGTTTGCATGTTTCCTCTTAACACATCTTGTCATATGAGACATTTATTTTTATATATTGTAAAATGTTTAAATTAGTAAGCCCACATTTAGTTTTATTACTTTTTTATTTACTGAACTATATGATATATTGTATTTTCACTTGGTAGAACTATAATTACTTTTCAGAAGTTTTAATGGTAGGTCAAGTTATAATAATAAAGTGTTTACAGTGTTCAATAATTCAATAGTTCAATAGTTCAATAAGTACTTTTTACTTTTGATACTGTAGAACTGTTGTGCTTTGACTCAAGTAAAACTGAAGAGGGCTACTGCCTTAGGACATCTGTATTTATAAATAACAGTTACTCCCTGACAAATATATTTCGCCCATATGGAGATAAAATTGGTTTTATATTCACAAATTCGTTCATTTTTGAGCAGTGACATGCTCCCTATATAGCGTACCACGCTACTTTGAATATTCGGTCTGCAATTTCATGCAGGTATGACTTTGAAACAACTCAAGCACTATTTATTTGACTGTGAACAATGTTCTTTGATAGTCATTGGCTGCTAATATAATATCACTATTTAGAATTTAAAGGAATGTTTTTCTGAATTTATATTATTGATGAGAAAGTCAAATTTACCCCAATTTCGCCCACCCCTGTTTAAAAGTATATGACAGAACACAGCATGGGTATGTTGGAGTGAACTTTGACACTCACATGCAAACACTGACGTGCTCGTACACGAGCCAAATATCAAGTTTATGAAACACACTAACGCTCGGGTACAAATGTCATGATAACCTAGCGGTATATTTATCAGCACTGTAGTAAAACCAAAGTAAGTAAAACTTACAAAAATATCGTTAGTAAGATTTGTATGTTGTGTGTTAGGTGGCTAAGTGTTTGCTAGCGTTGCTACATTTGTAAATACTGGGCAAAATACAACGAGTTTTTACAAACCGATAGTTTAACGGTGCTGTTATGGTTCCTGGGATTCGCCTTTCCCATGGTTTTGGAGGAGGCTGAGCCATTATTTTTATATTTCAGGCCAAAGTCGAGCTGCACTGAGCAACAACCGTTAACACGTACAGTATCCCATTCGCCAGACTAGAGCAATCGATCATTCACATCGCTCTTACTGGCTGGCTACACGAGACTAAAACAATCAACCACTGAATCGATTGTGAAGTACTTGAAGGCTGGCTTGGCTATATAATCGTAAACTATTTACCAAGCATAGCCTGTGTGATGTGCGGTTATAAATTCAGTACAATGCATGTCAGAAGATATGCCACCAAAATTGGCTAAAACAAAAAATGCTGCTTATTGTTCTCACCAAGTAACTTACGAATGTATGTGCTGTATATTTCACAGTAAATTCGTGACAATGTAACTGCTGTAGATTCAACACTGGTAAGTAGCGATTTCTGTAATTCTTGTCATAGACGTTTAATTTAAAAAGTGACATGTCAAAAGTGGAATACGAAGCCACGCCTCTATTCGGAGTCCACTCGGTCATCCTGACACTACTGTGGAAAAGCAATCATTCTCTCGTAGCGATGCATCAACAATCCAGGGGCCAGGTCCCATGTAGAGGATATTTTCTAAAGAGACTTTCAGAGTAACAGACTTTTTGTGGTAAAGTTAGCAGAATAATTTTTTTCTAATAAAAATCTTATAGAATTATAATTTAATCATCAATCAAAAGGCAAATTGAGTTAACTAAAATAAATAAAAGTATACAAAATGTAAGCAACAGAACCCATCATACTATTGTAAAGCACTTTGTATTTATTTATTTATTTATTTATTTATTTATTCATTTATTTATTTAATTATTTGTTTGTTTGTTTGTTTGTTTGTTTGTTTATTATTATTAATATTATTATTATTTTGTATGTTCGTGTATCTTTTTGTTTGTTTGTTTTATTAAATTTTATTTTCCACCAAAATACTATAGGACCATACATTTATTTTTGGCTCATTTAAAAAGGGTCAGGGGCACCACTTTGAAATTTGTTATTTACAAAAAGGGAAATGGCAATAAATATTTTATACTATTGTCAGTTCATTGGGATTTGTTTTAGATTTATAAACACTGCCTATTTGCTTGAAACATTTACAAGTAGACTTACATATTGCTTTAAAGTCTTTATTTTAGATTTACATGAATTACTTTAGTTGAATCTTGTAAAATGTGCTGTCAGAAGTGGGATTTGAACCCACGCCTCCATTCGGAGACCAGAAGCCTCATCAAGTGAGAAGGTTTAACCTTGAGTCTGGCGCCTTAGACCACTCGGCCATCCTGACACTACTGTGGAGAAGCAATCATTCTCTCGTAGCGATGCATCAACAATCCAGGGGCCAGGTCCCATGTAGAGGATATTTTCTAAAGAGACTTTCAGAGTAACAGACTTTTTGTGGTAAAGTTAGCAGAATATTTTTTTTTTATAAAAATCTTATAGAATTATAATTTAATCATCAATCAAAAGGCAAATTGAGTTAACTAAAATAAATAAAAGTATACAAAATGTAAGCAACAGAACCCATCATACTATTGTAAAGCACTTTGTATTTATTTATTTATTTATTTATTTATTTATTTATTTATTTATTTATTTATTTATTTATTTGTTTGTTTGTTTGTTTGTTTGTTTGTTTGTTTATTTTTTATACATTTATTTTTATTTGTTTGTTTGTTTGTGTATCTATTTGTTTGTTTGCTTTATTTTATTTTACTTCCCCCCCAAAATACTATGGGACCATACATTTATTTTTGGCTCATTTAAAAAGGGTCAGGGACACCACTTTGAAATTTATTATTTACAAAAAGGGAAATGGCAATAAATATTTTATACTATTGTCAGTTCATTGGGATTTGTTTCATATTTATAAACACTGCCTATTTGCTTGAAACATTTACAAGTAGACTTACATATTGCTTACAAGTCCTTTTTTTTTTAAGATTTGCGTGAATTACTTTAGTTGAATCTTGTAAAATGTGCTGTCAGAAGTGGGATTTGAACCCACGCCTCCATTCGGAGACCAGAAGCCTCAACAAGTGAGAAGGTTTAACCTTGACTCTGGCACCTTAGACCACTCGGCCATTCTGACAATGGTAAACATCAAGAATCGATCTCTGGTAGCGCTGCATCAATAATCTGGGGGCCAGGGCCCATGCATGGAGAGGATATTTTCTAAAGAAACGTTTAAAGTAAAATAATTTTTGTGGTAAAGTTAGCAGTATAATTTTTGTAATTGAAATCTTATAGAATTATAATTCAATCGTCAATCAAAAGGGAAGTTGAGTTAACTGAAATAACACAAAGTATAGAAAACTAAAGCAAGAGACCCACTCGTACTATAGTGAAGGACTTTGGATGTGTAGGCCATACACAATAAATGCGCTAGATAAATGCACAATAAATTATATACAATGGTTAATTGAAAGTTTAAATAATTAGTCTATTTTTAGAGTCATGTTATTTATTTATTTATTTATTTATTTATTTATTTGTTTGTTTGTTTGTGTGTTTGTTTATGTATCTATTTGTTTGTTTGTGTATCTTTTTGATTGTTTGTTTTATTTTATTTTCCCGCCAAAATACTATGGGACCATACATTTATTTTTGGCTAATTTTTAAAAGAGTCAGGGACACCACTTTGAAATTTGTTATTTACAATGAGGAAAATGGGAATAAATATTTTATAATTTTGTCATTTCATTGGGTTTTGTTTTAGATATAAACACTCTCAATTTGCATGCAAGTAGACTTACATATTGCTTACAAGTCCTTTTTTTTTTAAGATTTGCGTGAATTACTTTAGTTGAATCTTGTAAAATGTGCTGTCAGAAGTGGGATTTGAACCCACGCCTCCATTCGGAGACCAGAAGCCTCAACAAGTGAGAAGGTTAAACCTTGAGTCTGGCGCCTTAGACCACTCGGCCATTCTGACAATGGTAAACATCAAGAATCGATCTCTGGTAGCGCTGCATCAATAATCTGGGGGCCAGGGCCCATGCATGGAGAGGATATTTTCTAAAGAAACGTTTAAAGTAAAATAATTTTTGTGGTAAAGTTAGCAGTATAATTTTTGTAATTGAAATCTTATAGAATTATAATTCAATCGTCAATCAAAAGGGAAGTTGAGTTAACTGAAATAACACAAAGTATAGAAAACTAAAGCAAGAGACCCACTCGTACTATAGTAAAGGACTTTGGATGTGTAGGCCATAAACAATAAATGCGCTAGATAAATGCACAATAAATTATATACAATGGTTAATTGAAAGTTGAAATAATTAGTCTATTTTTAGGGTCATGTTATTTATTTATTTATTTATTTATTTATTTGTTTGTTTGTTTGTTTGTTTATGTATCTATTTGTTTGTTTGTGTATCTTTTTGTTTGTTTGTTTTATTTTATTTTCCCGCCAAAATACTATGGGACCATACATTTATTTTTGGCTAATTTTTAAAAGAGTCAGGGACACCACTTTGAAATTTGTTATTTACAATGAGGAAAATGGGAATAAATATTTTATAATTTTGTCATTTCATTGGGTTTTGTTTTAGATATAAATACTCTCAATTTGCATGCAAGTAGACTTACATATTGCTTAAAAGTCTTTTTTTTTAGATTTACATAAATTACTTCAGTTGAATCTTGTAAAATGTGCTGTCAGAAGTGGGATTTGAACCCACGCCTCCATTCGGAGACCAGAAGCCTCATCAAGTGAGAAGGTTTAACCTTGAGTCTGGCGCCTTAGACCACTCGGCCATCCTGACACTACTGTGGAAAAGCAATCATTCTCTCGTAGCGATGCATCAACAATCCAGGGGCCAGGTCCCATGTAGAGGATATTTTCTAAAGAGACTTTCAGAGTAACAGACTTTTTGTGGTAAAATTAGCAGAATATTTTTTTTTTATAAAAATCTTATAGAATTATAATTTAATCATCAATCAAAAGGCAAATTGAGTTAACTAAAATAAATAAAAGAATACAAAATGTAAGCAACAGAACCCATCATACTATTGTAAAGCACTTTGTATTTATTTATTTATTTATTTATTTATTTATTTATTTATTTATTTATTTATTTGTTTGTTTGTTTGTTTGTTTATTTTTTATACATTTATTTTTATTTGTTTGTTTGTTTGTGTATCTATTTGTTTGTTTGCTTTATTTTATTTTATTTCCCCCCCAAAATACTATGGGACCATACATTTATTTTTGGCTCATTTAAAAAGGGTCAGGGACACCACTTTGAAATTTGTTATTTACAAAAAGGGAAATGGCAATAAATATTTTATAATATTGTCAGTTCATTGGGATTTATTTCATATTTATAAACACTGCCTATTTGCTTGAAACATTTACAAGTAGACTTACATATTGCTTACAAGTCCTTTTTTTTAAGATTTGCGTGAATTACTTTAGTTGAATCTTGTAAAATGTGCTGTCAGAAGTGGGATTTGAACCCACGCCTCCATTCGGAGACCAGAAACCTCAACAAGTGAGAAGGTTTAACCTTGAGTCTGGCGCCTTAGACCACTCGGCCATTCTGACAATGGTAAACATCAAGAATCGATCTCTGGTAGCGCTGCATCAATAATCTGGGGGCCAGGGCCCATGGAGAGGATATTTTCTAAAGAAACGTTTAAAGTAAAATAATTTTTGTGGTAAAGTTAGCAGTATAATTTTTGTAATTGAAATCTTATAGAATTATAATTCAATCGTCAATCAAAAGGGAAGTTGAGTTAACTGAAATAACACAAAGTATAGAAAACTAAAGCAAGAGACCCACTCGTACTATAGTGAAGGACTTTGGATGTGTAGGCCATAAACAATAAATGCGCTAGATAAATGCAAAATAAATTATATACAATGGTTAATTGAAAGTTTAAATAATTAGTCTATTTTTAGAGTCATGTTATTTATTTATTTGTTTATTTATTTATTTATTTGTTTGTTTGTTTGTTTGTTTATGTATCTATTTGTTTGTTTGTGTATCTTTTTGTTTGTTTGTTTTATTTTATTTTCCCGCCAAAATACTATGGGACCATACATTTATTTTTGGCTAATTTTTAAAAGAGTCAGGGACACCACTTTGAAATTTGTTATTTACAATGAGGAAAATGGGAATAAATATTTTATAATTTTGT